GCCCGAGTCTCTGCAACATGCCTCAAATGCAAAAATCCTTGGTGATGGACGACTGTGGGTAAAAACATACATGCATCAGATTTCTTCTCTGATAGCTTCCAGACCCCATTTTAGTGGGTTTGGCTCTTGAGACAAACTCCATTCGACAGCACAGGAGTAGCACTCAGTCATTTCCCCCACACTTGGCCTCAGTTCAGCAGGCGGGCCTGACTAGCTGCTTACATCCTCTCCTTTCTAACAGAGAAGGGAAGTTAGAGAAATCCCCGGTGAGTACTGAGCTGCCATCTGTGCATAGGGTTTTACAGGAGAGAACCAAACTGCTCTGCTTTCTCTCAACTTAATTGTAATAAATCTCCAAAGAGACTCTCTGGTTGGATTAACTCAGATGGGGGTAGGGAGAGAGAAAGACAGGAAGAAGGGATGGGGGGAGAGAGAGAGAGAAAGAAAAAGGGATAGGAGGCAAGAGTAAGAGCTAGAGGAGAGACTATGCATGCACTAGTTTTTCCCTGTATGCTTTGTTCTTGTAATGGTTAATACCCAGATGTGTCCTAAATCCTATGAAACTATTTCCTTCTCAATGACTAGTAGTAACAATCTAATCCAAATGTGACCCTTGTTTTGTTTTTTTTTTTTTTTTTTTGAGGAGAGGATGGAGTCCTTTGTTTCTTACATAACTTTTTGTTTGTTTGTTTAATATAGTGTTGAGGAAAAAAACAAACAATTTTAGTCACCGTTCTAATAACCTACTGCTCCCTGCTCCCCCTGTAAAACTGCTGCTCTTGGCTGCCCCACAGGTACACCGAGCTAGCAGTGCCCAGCCCCTGATGCTGCCGCCACTCTTCTGACTCTGTCAGATGGAGCTGAGGGGAGCTGTTCTTTTCAAGTGTTTGGCACAAGGAGAAAAGTAGACAAGGAACGGTAAAGACAGAAAAGAATGGGAAAATAGAAAAAGAGAGAAAATCAAAGCAAAGAAGGCCCTTGTGATAACTGGGTCAGGCTTTACTCCTAGATTCTGTGGCTTTCTTTGCTTCTCTGCTCAGGAATTCATTAAACAAATGATCTTTCTTTCAGTCATAGCCTTTCCATTCCCTACTATGAAGTGAAGAAAAGTACATGAGGACAGACATTGGAACTTGATCATTTTAGGTTCTCATCCCAGCACCTAGCAGTGTCTTACCCACAGTGCCAAGTAAACTCTGTTCTTAAGAACGTTCCCAGTAGCAATGCCAGTTCTCATGGGCTATCCATATTATTCCATCAGTCCGTGACGCCAGTAATATCTCATTGGGAATCCACTTTCCTCAAACGTGTCTGGCTAAAAGAATAATGGATTCCAAGTGACAGGAAAAGTATGTTGTTGCTTTACACACACATATGGGCACACACTTGTTCACAATGTGTACATGGTAAACAAACAAAACCTCTCAAAGGTATACAAATAAAAGATCTGTACTCACTTTTCCAAAACAACCCTCGGTTCTTCTTGAAAATGTAACTGCTGAACCACTGTTAACTGTTTCCTGTTTGCAGGTCAACTTTAGTGTAGAGAGAAGTGGGTCTGAGCTGCTTCTGGTGTGCAAGTGGGGATGAAGTAGAGGATCCTTTGTAGCTTGGGGGGTGGGGTGGCATCATGCCTTGGGCTCTTGTGGGGTAAATAAACAGTCCTGAAAACAGGCCAGATGAGAGAATAAGAAATACCATCAGTCTATAATCTTGTCTCCTTCGGGGTGTGATCATGGAATTAGAGGGTCCCCATCAAATGAAAGTTTGAGTTCCAGAAAAGGAAGGACCTCATTCAAGGTGACACACACACACACACTCTCTCTCTCTCTCTCTCTCTCTCTCTCTCTCTCTCTCTCTCTCTCTCTCTCTCTCTCTGAAGCAGAGCTAGGATGCTAGCCCCTAGACCTGCAGCTTCTCAGGACAGTGTTCTTCCCTCAATTCCCTAGCACCTCTACCAGTGGAACACACCAGGCTTCTGGCACCTTCTGCTGCCACTCTAGCCTCTGTGACTGGACTGTGAGGACCTTAACAGATTTCTTGGGTCCAAATAAGGGAGGAGATTCCCCCCCCCCACATCTTTTCTCGTTTTAGAGGGTACATGATAATTTGGTGGCAATCTTTCACAGTTGTTGCTAAGTCTTGACACACTCTCTCTACCCCTCTGGGGAAGATGTACTACTTCATTGGAATTTTATTGGATAACGTTCTTTACAGTGAAACCCTAAGTCTAGAAATAAAACACCTTGTTGGTTTTTTCCTTCTGTTATAATGTTTCTGATTGATTATAACATTAATACATATTTATTAATAAAAAGGATATTCTAGAAGAATACTAGGGATATATAAATCAGCAGATGCTGTTCTTCAAGAAATTTGCCAACTGTCAATGAAATACCTATTTTGGACACATGAGGGAGCTTTTAGCTAAAATGAAGATGAAAGGAGTTTGATGTCAGTTCTACCATCTTTATTTTCTCTTCGTTCAAATTTTTAACTGTTATTTTTGAAAACACATTAGCTAACTGATTATGGAATCACATGATGATAGAGCTGACAGACCACTTCATTATCGTGGTGGCTCTATTGCAGTTGGTATGGCTGCCTACTCCTTTCTCTAAACCTTTTCCATCCTTGGCTCCTGAGACATCACTCTGTCCCTGGCTCTTCTATTTTTTGAACTTGTTTCTTCCTTTGTTACCCCCTCAATGTGGGTGCTTTCTTGAGCCCCTCAGCCTTCTTATCTTCTCATTATGCAATATATGGGCAATTTCCTTAGCTGACCTCATCTAGTCCCATGATTTCAACTCCTATTATGTGTTGATGACTAAGTCACCATACATAGCTCCTGCTATTCATCTATGCTGTGGTACAGAGATGCATATTCACTTGTATACTGGACAAGCCCCAGATAGCAAAAGCTGCCCAAAGGAAGGTCAATTGACCTGACCCAAGGAATAGCAAATTTGAAGACCACATAACAGGTTAAGAAGGCAGAATCTGAACTTTCAGGGTCCACAGGGGATCACTTTGGATGACAACATGAAGACTGATATTATTGAAACAGAATTAAAAAAAAAACCATTATAAACATTGGAGGACAACAAAAAAATGTCACCTAGTACTGCATTATTGATCGCATAGTCATTAGCCACAGTGACTGTTGAGCACAGAAATGTGCCTGGTTTGAATTGAGATACAGAAAACATGTAAAATACATATCAGATTTAAAAGAAAGCAAGCTGAGATGAGTTAGGAAGATGGTGTCAGAGGAGGTTCCCAGGACTTGGAACAAAACTAGGGCAACTCTTGGGCATTGGAGGCCAACATGACAAGGAAACACTGAAGAAATTCAACTCCACGCAACAAAAGGTGGGTGGAGAGGCACTTAGATATAGTGGCTGGACCAGGAGCTGGTGGTGCAATCTGGTGCGCCCCTGTTTGACTGATGGCCCTGGGGTGTATAGAGCTGCTTAGTGTGGAGTCACACTCTTCACTGAAGGGAGGTACATGTGGAGGTGTTGGGGTGAGTGAAGTGGGCAGGGTTTGTAATGAAGAATACAGGGTGCAGGGTGCTCCTCCTCCAGCTCTCCCTTGTGGCTTGAGCTGATCCTGTGAATCAGCGCTGAAAGAGAGGCTTGCAGAATTTAGGTGCAGGACTGGCAACCCAGAGAGGAGCCTTATTAGTGGTATAAACATGAGCCACACCCACCCACACACCACTGTCACCAGTCAGTGACTGGACCCGTTGAGGCCCCTCCCCTACTCCCTGACTCAACAGCTGCAAATCACATCTCTCTGACATACAACATACTGAAGTGCAAAGCCAGGAAAAACAGAAAAGAAAAAGCCACAAAGGAACTCCACAGAGCCATCTGCTGGAAAAGTGGAAATTTTGTACACCTAGGATACAGACAACCACTGAAACTCAGGTGTGAGTCACACCTCTTCTCAGTTCTTCCTGAGGAGCTGTGTCCATGGCCCACAATAGGACCTGCATGTCTAGCCACATGTGTGTCCTGGGGGGAGGGGCACATAAAATATGTAAGGCAGGCAGTATCCATCAGGCCTCTTGCTGCAAACCCAGCCTACCGTTTCTATTGCTACAACTCCTGAGTGGGCTTCCCTCAGTCTTGTCTGGGCCACGGGCTCTGAAGGAGAGGCCAGACAAGTTGGCCTATGGGACAAGGAGAAGCCTAAGCAGGAGTTTAGAACATAATTGATTAAAGGAGAATTAAATAGTAATCCCCTCACCGGGAATTTCTGCAAGAGGAGGGGTATGAAGATAGAATATTCTGGAACATTCTAGTATGAAGTCAGATGTGTTTGGATTATAGGAAAAAAACCCTAAAATTACATGAAGTGATGTTTGTTTGTAGAGTAGTTATTTGTGTTATATCTTTGTAAGTTAATACTTTTCTGATGGAAGAGGGGGGCTAATGCTAACCCTAAAATTAATTCCAGTGATATCAGACCCAGGGCAAGTTAGTCATGGTTCCTGATCATTATAAGCAAATGCTGATTAAGCATTAGGAAGAGGGAGAAGAGCATCATCCCAAATTAACTGCAGTGGTGTTTGTTTCTGGATTAGTTATTAGTGTTGCCTGATTCATATAAGTAATTGTCTGAAGAAAGAGGGGGATAAAAAAATCACTCGCTGAATAAATTCTATTATAACGCTTGTTTATTGAAAAGACTATGTGGGAGCAGCATGCATTGGTTTTTTTCCCAAAGCACAATTTTGGTGAAGGAATAAAGGAACACGAGAGGGTCTCCTAATATGACGAAAATTTCAGGGCATTAGATAGTGGTAAACTAAAATAGACAGACGTGGGAAACACTAGAATAGTGGCAAGTCACCCTGGGTCACATAGGGAAAGAAAGTGGAAAGCTAAAAATGGGCAGGAAACTCCAGCTACAGTGGTAGTAGACAAGAAATCTGCCAGTGGACAGGAAATTCCAAGTACAATAGAAAGCAAACCTGCTTTCTTAGTGGAAAGGCAAGGGGCAACTTCACAGCTTGGGAATTCTGACTGGATGATCAGCCTGAATCCAACAGTGGAAAGGGCACAGATATATAGGAGACAGGCAATTCCAGGTTGTCAGGGATCATTGATCAGATATTCAGGTGTATAGAAATGTGTGTAGAGAGTGCCCAGCCAACCTCAATATGCAAAGTTAGCAGCACAGAGGCAGAGATCTTGAAGACTAGACTGCTCAACTTTTGACAGAAAGCACCCGTGAGCTGGGGAACCCCCCACCCCCATTCCCAGTTGAGAGGAGCAACAGAGGATCAGAAGATGGAAGCCTTTTTCCAAGGGGGAGACATCAAAAAGTAAGTTGAACTCATTATGATTATGGTGAGTATTTGGAGGGGCTGAGGTTTATGTTCTGAGCAGTATGTGCCCCAAGTTGCTGTCGCAACGCCCTGCGGGAGAGTATTCAGAGCGAGCCCCTCCTGCCATGCTCTAAGCCTTTCTCAGGGTGGTAAGAGGATGTGCTGGAAACATTAATAAAGCCAATAAATTGTTACTAAACCTTTTAAGTTCCAAAGATTTTTTTTTCCTGTTAGGAAACCTTTCAGCAGTCAACACTTTTCCAGAAATGGCAATATTGTTCTATTTTGATTGTAAACATTATTATTTCCAGAGGTTAAGAGCAGGGTGAATTTCTGGGCCTGAAATCTATCTGAAAGAGAATTCTGGTTTAATGTGCTTATTTTATTTTCCACATAATTTTTAGTTGAGCATGCCAGTATCTAGCAAGTGAATGCTTTTCCACCTCTTTAGAGAATATCGCATTGAATGTCCAAAATTATGTCAAAAAAATCTCAGGAATAACAACTCCTTGGAATATCAGTGATTGAATATTTAGATAAAATATATTTAAAAGATTTTGTTAAAGTACTGATATGTCTTAACGTTATTCCTCTTAGAACATTTTTAAACTACAGTTAAACTCATTGTGAAAAACATTTTACCTTATCTTCTAACCCCTTAGATAGTGCTATTGAAAATTAATTTGATAAAGATTTAGAGACAGATTCAAGAAAATTTTGATATCACTCATCCTCTGAGGAGACAGGCTGAATGTTTTGTACTGATCTGATTAAGAGCAAAGCTGGAGTGAAATCTTGCTACCAGGTAAAGTCTCCTTCCATTATTCACACGAATTGAACTTTAAAATACAGCTACAGCGTTTGACACTGGTTTAGTAAAATATTATACTATTTCCAGACGGAGTGGCTGATTTGTTGATTTTGGTCTTCCATGGGCACTGGCGTTAACAGGCAGTATAAGCAACACTACAAAGTGGGAAATTTCATCTTTAGGAAGATACTAGGAATCTTCTAGTCATGGCTTTTGCTGGGTTGGTCTTATGTAGGCTAGGGTGTTAACTGGCAGCATTGGGTTACATGGTGCGTAATGTTGTCTTAAGCAGTTCGCTCTGGCTTAACACTGCTGGAAGCGTGGTGAAAACTGTGTAGTGGAAGTACAGACTGTCATGGAAGAAAGCAGAAGTCTGCTTTCTTTTATGAAGTCTTTTTCCCTCTCCCTCTTCTCTCTTCTTTCCTTCTCTTCCTCTCCTCTTTTTTTCCTTCACTTCTCCCACCCTCCCCCATCTAGCTCTCTCCTTGCTTGCTTTCTTTTGTTGCAGTATTCATGAGTTGGTCTTTATTTCCTAAGCAACCACACCGTTTGAAACCTGCTCCATTATATATGACACAGTGAATTTGGGCTGGACATTAATGCCTCACTGCTGTAACATGAAAAGATAACCAATATGAAACATACAGTGTCTTTACAAAACATTTTTCTTGTAAAATCTAGCAGATATAGGAAACTCCATAAAGCAAATGTATAGATTTGTCGGTTTCTCTGAAGCAAATAGATTTATACCTGTCATTCAGGTTAAAAAATAGAACTTTGCCATCCAGCTATTCTAATCACAACCTCTTTCCTCTCCTCAACATTAAACCCAGTTCTGACCTTTATGATAATTGTTGTTGCTTTTTGGAGTCTGTGGGTTTGGAGTGCGGGGTCCTTAGGTTCACTCTGGGGAAGGTTTCACCAGAGCTCCTGTTTCAGCGACACGCAGCGAATTTCCCAGGCGAGTTTCTCCACAAGACAGAGACGTTAGTTATATTTAAAGGGCAGGTTTACGAGGGAAGGGATAAAACCGTTAAAGACACTTGCACAGACACAAGCAGGCAGGAAGAGCTGCCCCAGAAGGGAGAGGTTTGCTGAGAGAGGCCTGCATGGTTGTAGGCAGGAGGCCTTAAGGAGAGCTACCTCGGCTGAGGGGAGAACCCCGGGCATGGTACAGGTCACTGGCAGGCAGGGAGGCTGCTGCCCTGCAGAGGAGAGAGTTGGTGAAAAGAGGCACCTGCATAGTCACAGGTGGGCAGTGGGAGTGCTGCCCTGAGCCTGTGCAGAGACTGCACTGATATAGTCTTCTGCTGTCTGGGAGGGGCTCACCTCCTTGTCAGTGTTGGGGTTAGTCACTGATTTTGGATAACTGCAGAATCAGAAGGGGACTGAGATTCCACAATGAACTCAATCTCCATATCTTTACCTTTGGGGTCTGTTGGGCTCAATCTCCATATCTTTACCCCTGGGCCTGTGCTCTAGACACTCCCTGCAGCAGTCTGATACCTGCTTGGGTCTTATGCTTTGTAATCTGGGCATTGGCGCCTGAGGATCTTGGTTTCCATAGCTGTGTCAATGGCCATGCGAATCCCTTCTACCCCCACCTCCAGCTCTTGGCATTTTGTGAGCCAGGTTTCTGGTCTTGTGCGTACCTCCTTTTCAGTTTTTCTATTCCTGGCCTCCATCAATAATCACTTCTTTATTTTCTCTATAAATTTTTCACCCAAATAGTCATTTCTGAGCACGAGTTTAGTTATGCTTCACCCTCCCTCTTTTAATCTGGAGATTATCCTCTCTCTCTTTTTATTTGTTGAAAAAAATGGAGTCGTTTGTTTTCTAGAGTAACCCAAGGTCTTGATTTTATTTGGTGACATCTTCTGTTGCAGTTAAAGATGCTGCTCTGTTTTGAATTTCCTAAAAATCGATATTTGGTTTTATAGGCTAGACCAGATTTGGGTTTGTTTATTCATTTATTTGGCTTCATAGATGCTGATGTGTTCTGTTTGAAGGTGCATGGCATTTGGTTACCTCTCTTTTCTGTGATGTTAGCTGCCATTAACACATCACTCTTTAGGTTGATGATGTCTCTGTAGACATTTCGCTTGTTAGAAACTCATTCATTAAAATAAGGAGTGACTTTTGGGAACAATTTTCCCTAAGTTCTCACATGTTGATAAATTTGTTTGTGGTCTTTCCGTTTGAAAATCAGATGAGTTAGAATGTTTGCCTCACGTTTTTGTTTCTTGAGGATACTAAACCTGCTAATACATATTCTGCTGGCATAATGATTTGTCATCAGAATCTGGTGATAAGCTGATTTTCTCTCTTCTATGAGTGATTTTGGTCCTTTCAACTTTCCTCCTAATAATTTTCCCAACAAATTTACTAGAATATGTTTCTGCATTGGTTGCTTTGGCTCAATCAATTTCCTTTTAAAATATGCAGTTTTAAATCCTACTTCAAGGACATTTTCCTGAATTGTAATTTTTAGAAATTTTTGTAGCTTTCCTTTGATTTTCTTCTTTGATGATTGAGAGCCTATGAAAAGTGAAACAATTTTGAACAGCTGCTGGAGAGGGCATCAACATAGGAATGAATAAAGAATTGCCAATCAGTATTTAAGGCTGAGCTGAAATTAAATGATGTGCATTTGTAGAGGAGCCAACTTTCTATTGCAAAACTCAACAAATTTAAACAGAGAGATATTGGTGGCAGGGCAGATAGCATGGAAAGGCAAAGGATGGAGGGACTCTAGAATGCTTGGATGCTGAAGTATAGTTGAAGTGGTTGCCAACATATTAATTGTACAAATAAGTAGAAAATACATGCAGGTATTTCTGGGACAGTTTCAATTTTTTACTATTTCATTTTAAAAAAAGATGTAAATGTACGATTAAATATGATTTCATTGCATTTATTTGTGAGAATGTTCATAATACATTAGTAAACCAGAAAAGAAAATCTTGATAAACCATCTGGTCCAATTTTGGGTTTGAAAGTGATATTTCATATCTCAAGTCATTAGCCAGGCCATAAAAGTACTTACAAATAGATTTTTGTTATACAGAAATAATGACAATGAAAACAGAACCCAGAGTGAAACCCTTTAATTGGAAATTCCTCTTTATCAGTCACATTGGCAGGTTTCATTCAGATGTCTCAATAACATTACTTCTGCTAAACTTTAGCAAAAAAATTTCTAGCTAAATTGAAAGCACCACCCACTTAGAAAATGAGTAAAGTTGATCTTTGTTCGCAAATTTCCTTTCAGAAGTGAGAATTCTTCAGTTTCAGAGTATTTTCTACCTTTTTATACTCAACTTAAAGTGATACTATTTTAATTTAAATTTTCAAATTAAAATAAAATTTAATGTTAAAAAGTATATCTTTTTTTTAATGGCAGCATACCTTCCCATTTTCTTTTTTTTAAAATAATAAATTTTATTTTTATATTCCCCATACAATTGCAAACCCCCATTCTGACCCCAATCCCTCCCCTCCCGCCCCCCACCCCCCAAAAAGTGTCTCGGGTTCATAGTTTTTTGTTGATTTTGATTTTCAAAAAGTATATCGTTTTATAGATCTCTCTTTACATCACAGAAGTGGTAAACGTGCCCTTCAGGGAAGTCTACTTTTCTTTCTTTTGTTTGCAGTATTTCTCTTGTCACATCTGACACCACTGGTTGATTGGCTTTCTTTACCACTTTGCTCCCAGGTCTTCTTAAACAGGCAACGTAACAAGTTAACATGCTGATGATCCTAGGCAAGCTGTTTATGTCCATGTGGTCTTGTCTTGAGCAGCAGAGGAGGGAGGAGGAAGCTAAATACACATCAAATCCTATTCATACATGTGAAGGCATTCCACAGTCAATGTTCAAAACTCATGAAGTTTTTATTACTTCTAGCCACGCCTTCCTGTTATTACAAAGTCATTCTTCCTTCTTAATCCCCTTCCTTGCATCTGTCTAATCAATAGCCATTTATTGCTTGCCTTGATGGTGAAATGGAATTGGAATGCACTGGGGTCAGCCAAAAAGCATCTTAATGTGACTTTCTTAACTAATTTGCTCAGCTTGCAGCCCTTGCAACAATCTCCATCTAAAGGATCTCAACCAATTTCCATCCCTATCTGTCTTTAAGATGTATTTTGCTGCTACTGTCCATAGATGCTTTGGGACGCTGATGTTTTCACCAGGAACACTAATGCCTAAACCCTTTTTGGGGCCAAGACAGCATTACAGAGGCAGAATCCTTCCCTGTGACAATGCCACCGATACCTGCACTTAACACACTGCATCAAAGGTAGTACCTCTATTACTGTCAAAGCTGTTGGACACTGATGCTGCTGATTCTTTAGCTTTCAATATTCTGTGGAGATTTACTTTGTTTACCGAAGCTTCCTTGCTCAAGGATTCACTTAGTTCTCTGAGGCTTGGCCTAAAATACAATCTAATAGACACCATGCTATACTTAAAGTCTACCTCCCCTCTGTCTTCAAACACTGGTCTACTTCCATTAAATCAAATGCGTTCATCTTGAGTCTTCCCATAAGATTCTTTCTTAGAACAATCCTTAGATCCTAGTATGATATTTCCTGCAGCCCCACCACTTATCCTGATAATGCTCAAGCTGTGCCTGGAGTCCCTGTTATCTTTTTCCCCTCCTCATTACTCCCAGTAAAAATTCTGTTGTCTTAATTGTCTATTCCCATCCAATAATCAATCTGTATAATTGACACTCTCTGAAGTAAGATCTTACATAATACTGAGGCACTGAGGACAGAGAAAGGGAGAGTCATCCTGTTCTTATGTCCGAGTTCCTGTAACCTGCTGCTGCCTTGTTGCCCCTGTCCCTGTCTGGCGACTCAGGGCCCAGCAGGGAGTTGCTTTTCAGTGTGTGTTTGGGATATGGCAATCTTTATTGCTTCTATTTGGCAGTTGAGACATAGGTATGTTTTTGTGAGATTTCTTATGGTTGCATCTTGGAAACACATCCCATACCATTTCCTTCCTAGAGTCATGAGACCTTGATATGCATATTGCCAAGAATCAGGATGCTGGCTTTTATTTGTGTTAGTCACATACTTCCTTCTTTCCATGTCTCCTATCTCTTAGTCCAGGGCAATATCTAATCTGTGGGGTAAAAGCCCAATCTCCTCATCTTTCACTGCCCCTATCAATTTAATTCAATATACTTTTTCCATATAGCTCAGCTGAGGTGGGGGTGGGGCGAGGATCACAGCAGCAATTTAAATATGTGTTAGAAAGCTTTTGAGTGGGTGTCTAGCAGCTGCTTGATACTTTTTTTAGAATGTGTATGTGTGGAGAGGTAGTTCACTCTTACTATCTTCAGCTTTGGAATTTTTTAAACTGAAATTATGACAAAAATGGTCTGATTTGAAAGTCTTTCTATCATCACCTTTAAATGTCAATCTTCTGTCTTAGGAGAATCAAAGTGAATGTAATTTGCCAACTCTTACCTGTTGTCTTAGGAATATTTTTCTTCCAAGGTTGGGGAGGACCCACTTTAGCATTCTGAAATACAGGCACACTTAATATAATCTGGTATGGACAGTACTATGGGACTATCTCAAGGAGAAAATAAAATAAGGGAGAATTTTAGTTACTGAATAATAGGACAGATCAAGGCTATGTGCTTAAGTATCTTTCATTGATATGGTTACCAGAGATGAAATAAGTCAGTTGTTGACACACAATTCCAGGGGTGAAAACAATAGCTCATGTAGCTTAAGGAAGACCTTGGGATCTTGCTAGGTCAAGAAAGGCAGGAGATTAGCACTATGAATAATATAATGCAAAGGGTATCTTTGAGGGCGCCAGTTGCTATTAAGGCCTACCTTGCTTATTAATGGACTGTATTATTAGAAAAAGTCTTATTTAATCTTTGGAATGCCACAGAGCACGAAGATCATAGGAAACATGGGAATTGAATGATTTGAAATAAGTGGTGCAGCCCTTCTCAATAAGATCTAAAGACTGGTGTGTGTGTGTGTGCACATGTGAATTCTTTTCAAGTTTTCTAAGACGATAGGGATATCTGAAAAAACACTCAGAAAAAGAGACAGTTTGAAGAGGTCTATTTTCTCCAATGTATGATGATGATCACAATTCTTTTTTATTATTATTTTTTCTTTGTAGACTTTCTTTTTCTCTAGCATCACCCAAAACTAATTGTCACCCAGGGTAAAGACTCCCGAAACCCATGTCTACATGTACTCTTCATGATAGTGCCCCACAGCCTTTGGGCTCATTTGGCTGATTTCCCTTTGGACAGCTTACTCCTAAGTTTTTGGAGCAAGACTAGACAAAGCAACATCCTAGTGCTTCACAGGAGCCCTTTAGATACCATTCAACTGGTAAGTTTCACATCAAGACTGGTTTTAGGTGCTATCCATGATCTACTGGTCGTAGCACTCAGGGGAATGACAAGGCCTTATTGATTTTTTTTAATTGTGCTTGTTCACAGATGCTGGACTCTGGACAGTGGGACGTGATGGATTGTAATCCACATGAATATACTAAACATGGTAAAGAAGACACCAGAGATAACTTCAGTTGAAATCTTTTAACTATACAGGTCTTTTTTTTTTTTTTTTAAGATTTATTTATTTATTTATTTATACAAGCACTGGGTACAGTCAGAAGCATGGGAGGGTGAGAGAATTTACCAGAGCCAGAGCGGGGGAACAGGCAGAGTGATGAAATGCACTGCTGAGGGGAGCAGTAGGTGCAGCAGAAGAGGTCTGTCATGCCATGTGGGACCCTCACCAGTTGCCGGGAATCAAACCAGTGCTGCAGAGGCTGTGGGCAGCTTCGTAGCCCAGCACTCAACCACTGCGCCACCAGGGGAGGCCCACTATACAGGTCTTGATAGGCCTGTTAGGTGATTTTATAATGTATTCAACAAAATCTAGTTGAATTGCATCTTCCTGTATGTGATGAGTTAGTCTAGATTTTTGTATTCTGGGTACCCATGACACTTTCTGTGATGATGAACTAAAACACTTCCCATGATTTGGAGATAGATTAGGTGGTAATGTATACACAGAAGTGCTTTTCATAAAATCCCAAAAGACAGATATGTTCTAATCTTTAGGATAAGTTTACTATAGCAGGGTAAAGATCAGTGCTCATTAGTGCATTGGAATCCTAAAGGCAAATATATGCATTCAATGGGTGATGTGGGGAGTGCTGCTGTGAATATTGTCTATTATAGAATTACCAAGTTGGGAGGGTTGTCTTTTGATATATGTGTGTAATTTGTAGCTTAGTATTTTTATATATTTTAGGTTAAAACCAGGGTCTTTCTAGTTTTAGGCACTTTCCCTTCTTATACAGCCATATAATGCAATAATTGTTTTCAAAATCATTTAATCTGAACATTTTTCCAATTTATCCCGGATCACACATGAATATTTCCTGTGGTCTATACTGGTGACAAAAGACTAGATAATAAAATGTGTAGTGGATTCTGGGTGCATTGCTTTTGCCTGGGAAATGTTTTCTATGGGCGTGTAGGTACCTAAATTAAGCTATTGCTGTGGTCACATTTAGTTCTTATGATTGATTATGATTCTGATAGTCTGACTTTTGTGAGTGCACTTCTAGAGTAACATTTTTGTCTCCTAATGTTTAACTGTAACTTTTGAAATAGAATCATGAAAAACTTGAGGTGGTAGCAATTAAATCTCAGAGGTAGTTTAGGGGGTTCATGAGTTTACATTAGGCTGCAGCATGTTATTATCCCTCAACCTGGGACAATGGAATGTGTAGAAAATAGGAGGTGATGGTACTAATTATACATTTTTGAGAAGATATTCACTTAATTTTAATGTACTGTTTAATGATTTTAAAAATTATTTTTATTGATGAAGAACCATTGTTTACATCTTTGTTAATATTTTGACAATGTAGGATTTCTCCCCTCAGGTGAGGCTATCGTAGCTCTCCCACCATTGAAGCACTTAAGTTGACTTACCTTTGGGGAGATTCATCTTATTAGAACTTTAAATTTCAAGCAAAATATTGAATTGATGAAAGGACTGCATTTTACAAAGAAGTGAAATTCTGAAGCATCATATAGCTGGCAATGTGTATGCTTCACACACACACACACACACACACACACACACACACATATAAACTGTGGTAAGTCTGAACAACATAGTTATGCATAATTGGAAATTGGAGATAGAAAGGTGACTTTGGACTTGAGTTTGTTTTCTCAGTTGAGTGACACAAAAGTGGCTTCACTAGAGACCCTGGAATTTTGCTCCTTCGAGCTTCCTGAAAAAAATCTAATGATGTTTTCCAGAGGAACATCAGTCAGTTAGAGTCAAAGGCTACAGAGAAGTCTTAAAAAATTGCAGCACAAGTAGTCATTGGTTACAGAGGCTCCAATCTGGGAGGCCACATCACTTCAGGTGTTGCTAGAAAACAGGCAAGTCTACCAAGGCAAATAAATCTAGTAAATTACTTTTTAAAATACTTTGCCATAGCATATTCAACCTGGAATCATTTATAGTGGTGGCATGCTTCATTTCCTAGAACTTTATGGCTGTTATTTGTTCTGAAGGGCAGATACTAGGAACAAAATACAGATTAACAAAAGGAGTTCAGTGCAGGTCTGGGGTGACCCATAGGTGGAAAAAAATTAAACACACATTTAACCAGAAGAAGTGAAATGGGACTCCAGGAGAGAGTCAACAAAGATACTGGAACAAGGTTGCAACACACACGACCATTAGTGAGTCAACATTAAACCCTCAAATGATGCATGTCGGGTGCTTGGTCTAATTAGCTAAAAGAGATCATTCTTTATTAAACAATAGAAATTCTTTCCGGTCACCACAAAAAAAGAGGAAAAGAAAAATAAGCTTCCACATGGATACCTCCCAGTCACATATGGTTTCCTGTCAGTAAATAGTTCACTGAGGCGCCACGGTACTTTTCCACTTAAATTGAGATCTTCATTCGGCAGCCTAGGAGTACAAAGTCTGCCCAAGCGTGTGAACACTGCCAATTTTTGTAGCCAACTGGGTAATAAGACAGACTTTAGAGAGGGAGTCTTTGGCCTCTCAGGACCCACAGTGGATTGATCATTTTGGCTGATTCTATGATGTAATTACTGCCCAAACTGAAGAAATGAACAAGCTAAACAAAAAGCAAAACAAAACTGTATAAACAAATAGAAAGACAATGTAGTCAACAATGGCAAAGAGGGCCCCCCTGGTGGTGCAAGGGGTTAAGTCTCAGTGCTATCAAGCTATCATCAGCTACTGAGGTCTGAGTTTGATCCCTGGCCAGGGAGCTAACCCACATGGCACAGCAGACCTTTCCTGTCTCCCCGCTGCTCCCCTCAGCAGTGCATTTCAGTAGATCTGCCTGCTCCCTGCTCTGTCTCTGGTGAATCCTCTCAACCCCCCACACCTCTGGCCTGCACCCCAGTTCTTGTATGCATAAATAAATAAATTTTTTTGAGTCTAGGAAAGAGCTTGCCCAGCACCTTCACTCTGTTGCCTCCTGTCCTCTTGTTTCTATGTGGATGAAAATGCTCTGAAGTTAAACAGTGGTGACTTTTGCACAGTCTTGTGACTAAATTTGTTGACTGATACACTTTAAAGGGATGAGTTTTATGGCAGATGTATTTCATCTCAAGAATGTAGCAAGGAACAAACTTCATGACTCTGAGCTGGGTTATACAACACATAAGTCACTAGTGCAAGGTGCTGTGCTGTAAGTTTAGAATACATAGCAAATATCAAATTAGCTATATTATTTCATGCATACATTTTAGTATTTGATTACATGTTGAAATAATATTTGGACTATTGCTTTAAATAAATATATTATTGAAATTAGCTCACCTTTTCAAATGTGGGTGCTGGAAAATTTAAACTTACATATGTGGGTTGTATTTTTTACTCACATTGTACACATGGTATTTTTACAGGACAGTGCTTTCTTAGATGAAAGTCACCACAGTTTTCATTGACACCTGGATAATTAACACTGGACATTATATTTTAAGTGGCTCATGGAAGCTAACCTGTGGATTCAGTCAGGAATGTTGATTTTAGCAGAAGAGGGTGGCAACAAGGAAAGGCGTGAATGGAAATAATGCAGGTTTCTAATGATAAAAATGCACAGGGCCTAGAACACAAAATTTTTGTGTATTACTTTCTTAGCTAGAGTCAAATTTGGGAAGCCAACATTACTAGGACTAAAATATTTATGGTTAAATAATATGTAGTGATTGGTGAGAAAATCTCCAAAACTCATGTAGGCATGGTATGCTTCCCCGATCTATGGTATACTATGTTTTATTGAAAGGAACCAATTCCTTCCTCTCATTGAAGTAAAGAGGGAAAGAATTGAAATGATGGTTACCACACTGAATTATTTCAGCACCTTTTGCCTCCATGTGATTAACTTCTTATAAAGTTTGCTGAGGAAATAGTTTTTATTTCTTCTATGGTAAGTAGGTAAAATGTAGGTGTATAAAAGCTGTTGAAGGGAAGCTTCAAGGGGCCTACCCCTGAGCTAGTGAACATTGTTATTTAAAGAGGACAAAACATGGTGCTGGAAAAACTGGGCCGCCTCATGCAAAAAAAAAAAAAAAAAAAAAAAGAAGCTTGATTGCTACCTCACACCACATACAAAAATCAACTCAAAATGGATTAAAGAACGAGACATAAGACCTGAAACCAAAAAATGTATAGATGAAAATGTAGGCGAAACACTACATGACATACACCTCGGTAACATCTTTGAAGACACATTACCCAAAGTAAAGATAGTAAAGGGAAGGATAAACAGCTGGGACTACCTCAAATTAAAGAGCTTCTTTACAACAAGAGACATTAACCAAAACAAAGAGAAACCCCACTGATTGAGAGAAAATTTTTGCACACAATACTAATGATAAAGGACTGATCACAAAGAGCTAGAGCTGACGAAACTCAAAAAAAAAAAAAAAAAAAACCAAAACACAACAAAAACAAAGTAAACAACCCAGTCAAAAAATGGGCAGAAGAGCTAAAAAGACACTTCTCCAAAGAGGAAATGCAAATGGCTAACAGACATGAAAAAATGTTCAACATCCCTCATAATCAGGAAAATGCAAATCAAAACCAAAGTGAGAGACCACCTTACACCAGTGAGAATGGCACATATTAAAAAAAACTAGCAACAACAAATGTTGGTGAAGATGTGGGGAAAAAGGAACTCTCCCACACAGCTGGTGGGAATGAAAACTGGTCCAACCACAATGGAAAGCTGTGTGCAGTTTCCTCAAACTGCTCAAAATGGAGCTTCCATATGATCCAACGATTTCACTACTAGGAATCTACCCAAAAGACACAAAAAAATTAATTCAAAAGGACACCTGCACCCCTATGATTATTGCAGCACTATTTACAATAGCTAAGCTATGGAAACAACCCAAATGCCCAAAAATAGATGACTGGATCAAGAAGATATGGTACGTATACACAATGGAATATTACTCAGCAATCAAAAAAAAGGTAAACTCATGCCATTTGCAGCAACATGGATGGAGCTGGATGGGATCATGCT